AGCCCTGACCTCAATCCTATAGAAAATGTGTGGGCAGAGCTGAAAAAGCGTGTGCGAGCAAGGAGGCCTACAAACCTGACTCAGTTACACCAGCTCTGTCAGGAGGAATGGGCCAAAATTCACCCAAGTTAAACAATTGAAAGGCAATGCTACCAAAGACTAATTGAATGTGATGAAAGAAATAAAAGCTGAAAGAAATAATTCTCTCTACTATTATTCTGACATTTGACATTCTTAAAATAAAGTGGTGATCCTAACTGACCTAAAACAGGGAATTTTTACTGGGATTAAATGTCAGGAATTGTGAAAAACTGAGTTTAAATGTATTTTTTTCACATTGTTTGCAAACTGATATGATATATTTTTTATTTATTCTGATAAAAATGTGGGGCTCAAAACAGGTGGGTCTCTGCCCTACCTACCCCGAATGATGGGTCGCCACTGATTCATTTGTGCATGTCCATCACCCATTTCGTATATGTTACAAATTACAACTCATTATGTTTTACGAATAAGCAAAACGCACAATATGTTACGTATTTTCCAAAGAAATTATATGTTACAAATTCGAGCTAGGTGGCTAACGTTAGCTAGCTCGCTAATATTAGCTAGACTAGGGTCTAGGGTTAAATTGAGGAGTTAGGTTAAAGGGTTAAGTTTAGGGTTAGGTGAAGGGTTAGCTGAAAGTGTTAAGGTTAGGGTTAGCTAAATGCTAAGTAATTGCTGGTAGCTAAAAAGTAGTAAGTAGTTGAAAGGTTGCTAATTAGCTAAAATTGTCCGTGATGAGATTCAAACTCACAACCTTTTGAGTTGCTAGACATTGGTGTTATACTCCCACCCATCTAACCACCCTCCTTTCGTTTTTGCCTTGAGTAACCATCTGTTTTATGTAACCATACCAAATGTACATATCATACTAAATGGAGTGTCTCGGATTTAGGTACAGAATAAAACGAAATGCTCGGAGACCAGGTTACACTTTGGTATGTTCTATTGAGAACAGTCTGGGACTCGTTTCCTTCTCAAATATATATTACTTAAGTCAGATGTAATTAACCGCAATTCACTGGTCTCAAATATAACTACGATACACAGAACCATGGCGGACCCATTGTAAAATGAGAGGCTTTTCTCCATATTAAAACGTGTCCAAGTGAAACATGCCTAGCTCTGCCCACTGGAGCGTGGTTTACAGAGTGTTCTTTGAAATAAAATATCTTCACATTCCAATTGATCGAGTTCTCACCACGCCGGCCTGGATCCATGGCAGAGTCCTCCTTCCTGCTGGGCTGACTTAGTATCAAATCAAATCAAATTTTATTGGTCACATGCGCCGAATACAACAGGTGCAGACATTACAGTGAAATGCTTACTTACAGCCCTTAACCAACAGTGCATTTATTTTAAACAAAAAAGTAAGAATAAAACAACAACAAAAAAGTGTTGAGAAAAAAAAGAGCAGAAGTAAAAAATAAAGTGACAGTAGGGAGGCTATATATACAATAGAATAAAGTGACAGTAGGGAGGCTATATATACAGGGGGGTACCGTTGCATAGTCAATGTGCGGGGGCACCGGCTAGTTGAGGTAATATGTACATGTGGGTAGAGTTAAAGTGACTATGCATAAATACTTAACAGAGTAGCAGCAGCGTAAAAAGGATGGGGTGGGGGGGCAGTGCAAATAGTCCGGGTAGCCATGATTAGCTGTTCAGGAGTCTTATGGCTTGGGGGTAGAAGCTGTTGAGAAGTCTTTTGGACCTAGACTTGGCACTCCGGTACCGCTTGCCGTGCGGTAGCAGAGAGAACAGTCTATGACTAGGGTGACTGGAGTCTTTGACAATTTTGAGGGCCTTCCTCTGACACCGCCTGGTATAGAGGTCCTGGATGGCAGGGAGCTTTGCCCCAGTGATGTACTGGGCCGTACGCACTACCCTCTGTAGTGCCTTGCGGTCAGAGGCCAAGCAGTTGCCATACCAGGCGGTGATGCAACCAGTCAGGATGCTCTCGATGGTGCAGCTGTAGAATTTTTTGAGGATCTGAGGACCCATGCCAAATCTTTTTAGTCTCCTGAGGGGGAATAGGCTTTGTCGTGCCCTCTTCACGACTGTCTTGGTGTGTTTGGACCATGATAGTTCGTTGGTGATGTGGACACCAAGGAACTTGAAGCTCTCAACCTGTTCCACTACAGCCCCGTCGATGAGAATGGGGGCGTGCTCAGTCCTCTTTTTTTTCCTGTAGTCCACAATCATCTCCTTTGTCTTGGTCACGTTGAGGGAGAGGTTGTTGTCCTGGCACCACACGGCCAGATCTCTGACCTCCTCCCTATAGGCTGTCTCATCGTTGTCGGTGATCAGGCCTACCACTGTTGTGTCGTCGGCAAACTTAATGATGGTGTTGGAGTCGTGCCTGGCCATGCAGTCATGGGTGAACAGAGAGTACAGGAGGGGACTGAGCACGCACCCCTGAGGGGCCCCCGTGTTGAGGATCAGTGTGGCAGATGTGTTGTTACCTACCCTTACCACCTGGGGGCGGCCCGTCAGGAAGTCCAGGATCCAGTTGCAGAGGGAGGTGTTTAGTCCCAGGATCCTTAGCTTAGTGATGAGCTTTGAGGGCACTATGGTGTTGAATGCTGAGCTGTAGTCAATGAATAGCATTCTCACGTAGGTGTTCCTCTTGTCCAGGTGGGAAAGGGCAGTGTGGAGTGCGATAGAGATTGCATCATCTGTGGATCTGTTGGGGCGGTATGCAAATTGGAGTGGGTCTAGGGTTTCTGGGATTATGCTGTTGATGTGAGCCATGACCAGTCTTTCAAAGCACTTCATGGCTACAGACAGTAGCTCTGTTTGTCTGCTTTGTATAGCTCCCATATCTTATGATAGTTTATACAGTTTTGCCCTGTTTATAAGAACTATAGTGTAGTAGTCAATGAAAAGTTGTGGTAAGTCAAGTCCAACCCCTGGGCATAAAGGGGTATTTTGTCATAATAGTTTTCCTATCTGGTGAAAGGAAATAACCCAGCTCAGACACCAAGCACCAACACCTGCTAGATGTTGAGCAATTTAATAAATCCTAAACTATTTTGCAACATTGTCTGCTTTACCTATAGTGAAATGTGCCTATGTAGCCTACATAAGATAATAAGTAAATAAGTAAGCAAACCTTGGAAAGGTAAACAAGTGGATGTGTGCGAGGGGGGAGTGTCTCAGGCTGGCATCGTATTATTTGTTTATTATTTCGGTTTAAACGTGGCAACAATACAATAAATATCCTCGGTGATATTCACCTATAATATGACAGTTTTGGATTCACAGGAAATAACACTTTGGGAACATTCACAGTGAGAACACAACATCTATTACACAGAAACAAACAAAGCCACACCTATAAGGATTTGTGAATAGTAGTATGCAGAAAGAGGAATGTCATTTAAGCAGTATTGTCTGTATTACAGCTACAGTATTTTCTGTATGTCATGCAGTAGGCCTAGTCAGCTCATGGTAACTTACTTGATACAGACACCAACACTCCATTTATCAACATTGGTCTGGAAAACAGTGGTATAAGATCTCAACAGCACACGTTAAGAAAAAACAAAATGGTATATCCCTTTCTTTCCCGAAATCTCAGTGGTCACCGGTCCTTCCCTTATGTAGTGGCAGAAAATGACAATAGTGGCAGGTTTATACACAAACAAATGATTGATGTTAATTCCACAGACCAGACCAATCAACTTGGAGTTACTTATTGAACCATCTTACACCTCTCTACTTCCCTTGGTTCATGTGTTCTAATGAACACTTGAGTAGACTAAACTCTCATTCTGCTGTAACTCTCTCTACTTACAGAAACACACCTTAAACAAAGAGAAGGTACAGTTGGTCAAAGATGTGACAGACTAATACCGCCTTGAGATTCTTCAATCTATTTAGTGGTTGGATGTATCAACCATGTGGCCGATCTGATCACAGGACTTCCGAAAAACTGAAAACAAACCAACACATTCACCAAAAAATACAATTCTATAAAAAGGTGAAACTATTTCAAAAGGCATACATTCTTTGTACAAATAAATCGTAAGAAATTATAAAAATGTGATGAGAAACACAAAACAGATACAAAAGTAAAATAAAACCTCATTTGGTAATTGCAAAACCTCCCCACTTTATGTTCCCTTCTTAGTGGACAGATTTTGGAAAGCGAGGGACATGGAATGCTCTGAAATGCAATGTAACATTCTCATTCAGTCTAATTAGGACTGGAGACATGAGAACAAGACAACCTTCAGTGAAGGTAAGTCTCTTTTCTTTGTAAACAATTACTCCTATATTTAAAGTGGTTTTGGGGCAGATGTATTTTGGAAGAGAAATTAGTCTCAAAATACCTTTCTCCTCTTTTCACATCAGTTCATAACATGTCAGGGAAAAACGATTGCTCCTTTTGTTATCAACCAGAATATTCTGATTTGCTGCGTTTGTAGAGAATTGATAGTCATGTTTACTCATCTGTTACCAGATGCCTTGTTCCTTTTTTATGTGCATTGCACCCACTAGCCCCATCCCTACTACAACAATCTCACATTTCATTGCCTATGTTTTGATAGTGTTTTAAATTAACTTATGACTGATTCCGTTAGCTAGGCCAATTGCAGGACAATCGCTCGCCTCTTTGATCCTCCAGGAACTTGTCACTCTTCTCCGAGTGGGTAGAAGTTTTGAGTTCTGCAGGCAGGCTGCATGCTGGGATAGCTGTGGGCGGCATGGGAGGTATAAGGCAGCCAATAGAGTGAGAGGAAAATACAGCCACAGCTTCTCACACCACTGCCACCCTCAGGACAAACCACATCAAACCAGCTGGCATAAACCATGACACACACCATGTCAAATCATCAGCTTCCCATTCTGGTAGAGTAAGGGATGGGCGTTGAAGCTAGGTCATGGTCTCCCCCCGGGTGGGTTTTGGGGGGGGGGGGGGGGGACTGGAGGAGGTGGAGGGAGGGAGGCTACTCGAAGGCCCAGACCTCCACACTGTGGATGATGAAGTCTTTCTGGGTAGAGAGGGGCTGGTTGTGGAAAGTGGCACAGCTGGAGGTGGTGCCGTGGTACAGGTCAGCATCCAGCCACAGCCCTATCTGACCTCTAGGGAGAGGGCGAGGGAGAGAAAAGGGAGGGAAGGAGAAAGAGGGAGAGAGACAGGGAAAAGTCAGACAATCTCATGACAACTACCAGTTGACTTCAACCGAGAGCGAGAGAGCAGGTCACACAAAGATAGTCTCACATTGCTCAACCACATACAGTACCTTCAGAAAGTATTCACACCCCTTGACTTTTTCCACATTTTGTTGTGTTACAGCCCAAATTTAAAATTGATTCAATTGAGATTTTGTGTCACTGGCCTACACACAATACCCCATAATGCCAAACTAGAATTATGTTTTGACAAATTAATTAAAAATGAAAAGCTGAAATGTCTTGTGTCAATAAGTATTCAACCCCTTTGTTATGGCAAGCCTAAATAAGTTCAGGAGTAAACATTTGCTTAACAAGTCACATAATAAGTTGCATGGACTCACTTTGTGCAATAATAGTGTTTAACATGATTTTTGAATGACTACCTCATCTCTCTACCCCACACATACAATTATCGGTAAGGTCCCTCAGTCGAGCAGTGAATTTCAAACACAGATTCAACCACAAAGACCAGGGAGGTTTTTCAATGCCTCGCAATGAAGGGCACCTATTGGTAGATGGGTAAAAACCAGAGCTTGAATAATTTTTTAAAAGAATAATGTGCAAATATTGTACAATCCAGGTGTGCAAAGCTCTTAGGAGACTTACCCAGAAAGACTCACAGCTGTACTCACTGCCAAAGGTGATTCTAACATGTACTGACTCAGGGGTGGGAATACTTATGTAAATTAGATATTTCTGTATTTCAGTTTCAATAAATTTGCTAACATTTCTACAAACATGTTTTCACTTTGTCATTATGGAGTATTGTGTGTGGAAGGGTGAGATTTGTCAAAATTGATAAAATAATTTTTACTACAGGCTGTAACACAAAATGTGGAATAAGTCAAATGGTATGAATACTTTCTGAAGGGACTGTATATTCAGATACACTCACCCTCCTCCTCCCATCTGAAGAGAGTCTATGTTGCCTTTCACAAAGTAGGAGTTCTCCCCAGTCCAGCGGTACACCTGAGCACAGGAAAAGCAATCCACAGCAAGTCAGGCAGCAAAGCAATGACAGAGGTCAAACATTCATTATAAAACTTGAACATAGGTATGTGGATAAAACAAAGAGTATACATATGAGAGTATGTCTGACCTTGATCTCAGGGCAGAAACTGAAGAGGAAGGTCTCTCCCGTGCCGTAGCAGTGCTCACTTACTCTGAAGGGATGGGTGGAGTATCCCCCAAACAACTGGGGGGGGGGAAGAGAAAAAGAGAGCGAATAAAACTCAAGAGTCCAATACAAATTGAGCACCATGGTCAGTGTGTGTACCTGGTTGTCCATGTCTTTGATGACCAGTAGCACAGGGCTGTCCACCTCTAATAGGCTCCTGTACAGGGTCTTTAGGCTGGTCCCGTGTTCCACCGTACTGTAAGCCAGTCGCCATGGATACCCCTGCACCCGCGCTGGCAGCCGACACGCAAGCTGTGGGGAGAGAGAAAGACACGTGATTCAGGAAAGTGTGTATTTCTGAGTTTGTGTAGGTGAAGTCACACTGTTGCAGTTGGTATGTTTTCTTGATTGAAAGTGTTTTGTGTGTCATGGCATGTGTGTGTTTACCTTTTCTATGTGTGTGTCCTGTAGCAGAGCGCTGGGATCACTGAGCATGGGCAGTAGATCCGCCAAAGGCTCCTCCCCATCGTAGCTGCCAAAACTCTGCCTGCGCTTCGCCTCGTTGATGGTGATGATCTACGAACACAACCATGTACGGTCAGACATCTCAACCGTACAGTCAAAACACACTAAACTCAATGCATGGTCAAACCATTGAACACAGCTTGCTCCAAACACAAAAAAACGCACATACAACCACAGTTACAAAACACTTGACTACAATGCGAACATATAACACCACAGTCAAAATAATACTCTCATCTGTGCGGTCATGCCATGTGAACTCACCTCCCAGCTGCGAGAAGACTTGGGGTCACTGAAGAAGTTATCGATCATGTTGAGCTCGTCCTTCTCTACAACCACAAAGCCCTGCTCTCTGGCCTCCTTACCGTACACGTCAGGAGACCACTGGACGAAGAACGCATACAGGTGGTCCACCCTGAAACACACCACACATTTATGTTTCAGAACATTCATTCAACGTTTATATCATTGTGAATACACCACAGTTCTCATAAAGAGGTTCTGGCTGTGACTGTTCTCATTGGTTGACCTCTCACCTCTCCTGGGGCACAGCAAACCAGTACTCCGGCTGCTTTCCTCGCGTGTGGGCGGGGCTGGATGTCCGGCCAATGATGAAGGATTTCCTCATGGGCTTGCCCACCTTGAAGCAGAGGAACATGGGTGGGGTCTTACTCTTCTCCTCTGTGGAGAGCAGCATGTCTGCAGAGAGAGAGAAAATATGTAATATTGAAACAATGCAGTACAAGAAACTGCACAAAACGCTTCTGAACACTCACTTTGGATGGGCGCTTGCATCCTCTCCAGCAGCCAGGACTTCACCTCCGCCTCGTTGCTCCTCTTCCGCTTCTCTTCCTCACTCAGCCCCTCCTCTACCATTGGTCCGTTCTGCAGCTCCTCTGCAGGGCTGGGTTCCTGAGAACTACATTTCCCCGAAGCCGCAGCGGTCTCACTCAAGCTCAGCTTCCTATTTTGGTCAATTTCTGATTCTGATTGGTCGCTAATGCTAACACTGTTCACCAGTTGCCCTGTAGAGTTCCCATCTTTGGCTTGGCGTATGGCTAGACTAGCAGGCTTCTCCTTCAACAGTTCAGTGTCTTTCTCAGTCTCTGAAAGGACAGGCAGTGATTCTGTAGTTTCCTCAATGGAGCTGTTCTGTACCAGTCCTTCATCCTCCTCCCCTTTCTGCGAGGTCAGTGGGACTGGGTCAGAGAGGGACTGGTCCTGGGACTCTGCCTGTTTAGGGGAACTAGATCCTGGGAGCTCTCCCTGCTGGTCCTGGCTGGTAGCACTGGCAGGCGGTCTGGATCCACTCACTGGTTCCTCAGCGCTCCCGTTCAAGGGAAGCTCCAGCTCTGTGAAACCCTCGTCTGATGGAGACTGGTCTGCTGGCTCACACTCTGCCCTTTCTATGACTGGGATATAAGAAAACATGCGGTATTATTAAAATGACCACATGGATCAAAATATTGCTCAATTCATATTCAGCATAAGCTATTTTGATTCATATTGATTTTCTATGATTCATCCTGCTCCAATACAGATCATTGTGTGTTATCTCTCAGTCATACCCGTCTCTGACAGGGCAGAGTCGACGTCGTCCAGGACGATGGGTCGTTTGGGATCCAGCGCCTCGTAGCGGCTGAAGGGGTTGAGGTCGCTCTCTGAGGGCAGCTCCTCCCACTCCCCGGGCCTATACAGAGGACACAGATCCTGGGGTAGGTCTCTGTGCGGGGTCAGGAGTCAGGGGGCACCACACGCACATCGCAACGGAGGATGGGAAAATTAAACAAATCATAAATGAACAAAATGAAAATGCAACTCAAAAACAGAACACAAATAAAAGGGAATTCAAAAGGCGAAAATTATAATACTACAAATAATAGTAACTAAACAACAATGAACTAGCTAAACGAAAGAAAAAAAATGAATGAGAGTCATGTCTGCCCTTACAATCTGGAACAGGAAACCCTATAGCATGAGCTCGGCAAGTCAGTTAACCTTTTCACCTCAGAGGGAGAAGAAAGAACGAACATGGGAGAGAGGGAGAAGAGTGCAGGAAGAGGTAGAAAGAGCAAGAAGACAGAATGCGACACATAACGAATAAGTAAGAAAAGCAAGGTTAAGATAAGATCAAGAAAGGGGGAAAATAAGGGTTTAAATAGGGCGTGAAAGATGAATTGACAGCGCGAAAGAGTCTCAGGATGACAGGGTGGGTCCTTACGACGGCAGCGCGTCCTTCAGCTTCATGCGGGAGATGTCGTCATAGAGGGCCACAGACACCACCTCCTCCATGGGGCAGATCAGGCCGTACTCCTCACAGCCGTGCTCGATCACCAGGGGGTCCGACTTGTGAGGGTCAAACATGATGTTGTTGGGCGTCACGATCATCACCCCTCCCACCACACCCTGGGAGACACAATAAAAGACAGGAGTTTAAATCTCTGTTGTGGTGGTTGTTTTCATTTCAAAATGGCCTCCGGCGTGGCCACTCACCATTCCGTCAGTGAAGTACTTGCAGCTCATCTTGATGAACTTGACTATGGCGGGGCTCTCGTCCTCGGACAGGGGAGACCGCTCACGTCGTAACGGTCTTACTGACCTGCCGCTGGAGTCTCCATCCTGTAACATTGCCAGGCAACATGGACGAGCAGAGAACTAGGATCAAATTGATGACTTTAGTCTGGTTCTTCTTAACAAGGAGAACTGACTTACCTGTGACACCTTCTCTGATAGGCCATTGGTGGAGGTGGGGTCAGAAGAACCCACAGACTGAGAGTCGGCTTCCGATTGGCCCATGTCAGGAACAAACAGCTTCTGCAAGGGTGACGGACAGGTGTGTTAGCCAATCAGAAATCCAGGATTGACAGCAGGAAGTGGTGTGTTATGTGCTGAAAGCTCACCTGTCCAGGATAGACACTGCGGGAGAAGAGGCGGTTGAGCTGCACCAGTTTGTTGGGGTTGATGTTGAACTTCAGAGCAATGCTGTTTAGAGATTCCTGGGGTCCCACCTGTAACATGAAGTTACATCCTTGGTAAATGTGTATTATTTATTACCAAAAGTATCAATCTATCCAAAGCAAAATGCAGCATGAAATACAAAATTAGAAAGCAGAAACCTTGAATCCCTGAATTGCATGCAACTTATTTGCTATTTTATTTAATTACGAAAAGAAAACTTGAGGTTTATTGTCCACATTGCTTTCCTAAGCTAGAGTCTGAGTCCGAACCCCATGTGGGAGTTGTAGTGTCAGAGGGTGGAGGTAGTGAGGCAGCCTGTACTCACAGTATACTCCACTGTCCCGGGGGGCCTCCTCTTCTCTCTCTTGGCCTGGCTGCTCATGTTGCTGCTGTCATCTGAAAGACAGCGAAATAGGTCACGGACACAGTATAGAGATGATAGCCTGAAAACAGCTCAAAAATCGCTCAGCTCATTCAGAAACACAAATGCATGTATACACAAACTAGCGCACACTGCTTTAAATAGAACTATATTAAAATCAAAACCCTTGCTCGCTCACACACACGGAACACACCCGGCTAGCTAGTATCGTAGTGAACTCTCTACACTACAGTCATAGTCAGCACTTATTACCAGAGCCAGTTCATTAGAACACCCTCCCACTACTTCCTCTACTCCAGCTCCTCTATAGAAACTGGAGGATTTACTCAGCATTGTACAGTAGGCTGTGAGGAGTCCAGCTGTGGGTCACTGTACATCTACACAGAGTTCACCTCTTGTACAGAGCGGTCACTTATTCATTACTGTCTTTGTACTAACTAGTGGCTGTTAGCTTTATCAGATCAAGAAATAGTCATAATATAGACCAAAAATAGTATTTCTGTGTCCTGTCACTAAGTGAATGCAGTGTAGGCCTACATAGACTCCTTGGTCAGTGAGTGCATAACTAGGATGATAGGACTATCTTTTCGCATTTAATAACATGTTTGTATGGTCATTACGCAACATCCTCGGAATTAAAAGGCTGCAGACTAGGGATGTTAACGGTTAGTCACTTATCGGTCTATAGGTTAATTTGCATAATTTTGTAGAATGAAATTGGTGTCCAAATTTTACAAATCTCGTCAGTCATAAAACCGGAAACAGTGTCGGAGTCGACCGGAATTATTATTTTGCCGAAAATAGTATAGTGAGTGTATAGAGTAAGAAAGTAGCTTGCTTAATGTCAACTAATGGCTCTGTCTCTAGTCAGAGGGAGCCATGAGCAAGCCAGAGTGGAGACTCATTGCTAGGCAACTCAGACACAGGCTGCAGCAGTGGAGCAGAGGGAGAGAGAGAGGAGCAGCTCTCAGCAGCTATTAACAGCTAAGCTAGCAGTAGCAAACAAAAAAGCTTCTCAGAATTTCACTCCTGGTTTTCATATAAACTTTATTTCGTTGTCCAGAAGCCAAAATCCTAGTTGTTGCATATTTAGATTTTCCCTCTAAGTTTCTAATGAAGATTAGGTTTTTTTCTGCATAGAAAATTTACTTTATTTTAAAAAAATCATTTTTCGGGGTAAACTTAAACGACTAGAACCAACAATCACCTAAATAAAGGCTTTACAGTCAGGGAGAATCTAAAATCCCAAAATTATGCATTTAGGATAATTTGATTTTGCTATAATGTTTGAGTCACTCAGATCGCATTGCAGGAAATTAGCATTAAAACTGAAAAATTCTCTCTCCGCCACATGGCAAAATGTGTAGAATTTCATTTTGTCACTGTGGCCAACAGGAGTGCCTCTAAAATTTCCGATCAGCCATGCGGTAGCAGAGAGAACAGTCTATGACTTGGGTGGTTGGAGTCTGACAATTTGTTGTGATGTACTGGGCCGACCGCACTACCTTCTGTAGCGCCTTGCGGTCGGATCCCAAGCAGGTGCCACACAAAGCGGTGATGCAGCCAGTCAATATGCTCTCAATGCTGCAGCTGTAGAACTTTGAGGATCTGAGGGCCCATACTGAATCTTTTCAGCCTCCTGAGGAAGAGGCATTGTCGTGCCCTCTTCACAACTGTGTTAGTGTGTTTGGACCATGAAAGATCCTTATTGATGTGGACACAGAGCAACTTGAAGATCTTGCACCATCCCATTTTGCCCTCAGAACAGCCTCAATTCGTTGGGGAATGGACTCTACAAGGTGTCGAAAGCGTTCTACAGGGATGCCGGCCCACGTTGACTCCAATGCATCCCACAGTTGGGTCAAGTTGGCTGGATGTCCTTTGGCTAGTGGACCATTCTTGATACACAACGGAAACTGTTGAGCGTGAGAAACCCAGCAGCGTTCTTGACACAAACCGGTGCGCCTGGCACCTACTACTATATCCCATTCAAAGGCACGTAAATATTTTGTCTTGCCAATTCACCCTCTGAATGGCACACATACACTCATGTCTCAAATTGTCTTAAGGCTTAAAACTCCTTATTTAACCTGTCTCCTCTCCTTCATCTACACTGATTGTAGTGGATTTAACAAGTGACATCAATAAGGGAACATAGCTTTTACCTGGATTCACCTGGTGAGTCTGTCATGGAAAGAGCAGATATCCTTTAAATTACAGTGTTAAATAACAGTAATATGTGAGCATTTTTTTGTGAACAAATGTTTCATTTTGCCATTATAGTAAGGTTGGTAGCAACATGGAAAATCGTTGTCGAAATCTGTTGCAGGTCAAGTCGACTACAAAATCCACAATGCAATGATCTCGCTATAGGCTGGCTAGCAAGCAAACGTAGTTACACACAATAACCAAAAGACAATACCAGGTAGTTAGCTGTAAAATCGCCTAAACAAACTGCACTATTAATTTAGGAGTCCACAATCTGTCTGACATTCGCAACGACAGATATACTTTTGAAGAGATGGGAAACGTTGCCCATGCTATGCCAATGCATTCTGGGCGATTCTGGGGCAAGGAGCTCTCTCCTTCAGGGAGTGAATGGGAGTTTATTGGCCGCTAGCTAAAAACCCAACATTTGCACAAATTTCATCAACAAGAAGTACAACATTACAAATATTTTCTGACATGTGAGATATTAATTATCGTATAGTTTTGGAATCGTGACATTATGTACTTTCGAGGAAAATAGTTTATTGACATATACACTGACTTTGAGAAGGGATTGCGTAACGATTAGCTTAGCAACCGCGTGACGCAGCATGACAACGTGAACGCGATTGGACGACAGTCTGCTGGGTGGGGCGTTATACGTTCCTTCATTCATTGATTCCTATCTCCTTTCTATAAGATCTCTGGCAACTGCACCATGCAATGCATCCAGACAAATAGGAAAAATGTGCTAGACCCTCCATTCAATTACAAATTCGAGGTAGGTTTATCGCAAAAATATGATCAATTGCTCATTTGAGAGAAGACATCCTCCCGAGTTATGACATCGGCCAGTATTGAAATCTGAAATGTATGATAGACGTTTTTGCGATCAAAAATTCGTATTCCTATTAACTTCCAGTGTAGTGAGAACGACTAAATCACGGTGCTACGTAATACCGGCCGGATTTCTGCCTGCTGAAAATGCCAATAACTCACACGTGAAAACATGAAGTGACCCAGAGAAATCGATAGAACATCACTCAGAGATGCACAAAAACAATATAACATTCAAAATGGGTGAACCTTTCCTTTAATGTTTTGTACACTCAGTGTTCTTTAGTGTTGAATATACACTCTTTAGGCTACTTGTGATAGTTCATACGCAGCACACTTCTAATGCCAGGATGATACTGTGGTATGCCATTGAAAAACATGGAGAATTTGGCCTGCCAACTGGCTCTCTCCATCCAACCAAAAGAATCCGAAGGGAGAGCTGAGGATATCCAACCAATTGTCCTAAAATCTGCCAAATCATCAAAAACTGGAAAGACTATGAACAGAATCTAGTCAGTTATGCAGCTTCCTTAGGAAACACTACACAATATACAGTGGGGAGAACAAGTATTTGATACACTGCCAATTTTGCAGGTTTTCCTACTTACAAAGCATGTAGAGGTCTGTAATTTTTATCATAGGTACACTTCAACCGTGAGAGACGGAATCTAAAACAACAATCCAGAAAATCACATTGCATGATTTTTAAGTAAATAATTTGCATTTTATTGCATGACATAAGTATTTGATCACCTACCAACCAGTAAGAATTCCGGCTCTCACAGACCTGTTAGTTTTTCTTTAAGAAGCCCTCCTGGTCTCCACTCATTACCTGTATTAACTGCACCTGTTTGAACTCGTTACCTGTATAAAAGACACCTGTCCACACACTCAATCAAACAGACTCCAACCTCTCCACAATGGCCAAGACCAGAGAGCTGTGTAAGGACATCAGGGATAAAATTGTAGACCTGCACAAGGCTGGGATGGGCTACAGGACAATAGGCAAGCAGCTTGGTGAGAAGGCAACAACTGTTGGCACAATTATTAGGAAATGGAAGAAGTTCAAGATGACGGTCAATCACCCTCGGTCTGGGGCTCCATGCAAGATTTCACCTCGTGGGGAATCAATGATCATGAGGAAGGTGAGGGATCAGCCCAGAACTACACGGCAGGACCTGGTCAATGACCTGAAGAGAGCTGGGACCACAGTCTCAAAGAAAACCATTAGTAACACACTACGCCGTCATAGATTAAAATCCTGCAGCACACGCAAGGTCCCCCTGCTCAAGCCAGCGCATGTCCAGGCCCGTCTGAAGTTTGCCAATGACCATCTGGATGATCCAGAGGAGGAATGGGAGAAGGTCATGTGGTCTGATGAGACAAAAATAAGAGCTTTTTGGTCTAAACTCCACTCGCCGTGTTTGGAGGAAGAAGAAGGATGAGTACAACCCCAAGAACACCATCCCAACCGTGAAGCATGGGGGTGGAAACATCATTCTTTGGGATGCTTTTCTGCAAAGGGGACAGGACGACTGCACCGTATTGAGGGGAGGATGGATGGGGCCATGTATCGCGAGATCTTGGCCAACAACCTCCTTCCCTCAGTAATAGCATTGAATATGGGTCGTGGCTGGGTCTTCCAGCATGACAATGACCCAAAACACACAGCCAGGGCAACTAAGGAGTGGCTCCGTAAGAAGCATCTCATGGTCCTGGAGTGGCCTAGCCAGTCTCCAGACCTGAACCCAATAGAACATCTTTGGAGGGAGCTGAAAGTCCGTATTGCCCAGCGACAGCCCCAAAACCTGAAGGATCTGGAGAAGGTCTGTATGGAGGAGTGGGCCAAAATCCCTGCTGCAGTGTGTGCAAACCTGGTCAAGACCTACAGGAAACGTATGATCTCTGTAATTGCAAACAAAGGTTTCTGTACCAAATATTAAGTTGTGCTTTTCTGATGTATCAAATACTTATGTCATGCAATAAAATGCAAATTAACTACTTAAAAATCATACAATGTGATTTTCTGGATTTTTGTACAGTATATACACACAGTACCAGTCAAAAGTTTGGACACCTACTCATTCAAGGGGTTTTTATTTTTACTATGTTATACATTGTAGAATAATAGTGAAGACATCAAAACTATGAAATAACACATATGGAATCATGTAGTAACCAAGAAAGTGTTAAACAAATCAAAATATATTGTTCAAGGTAGCCACCCTTTGACAGCTTTGCACACTCCTGGCATTCTCTCAACCAGCTTCATGAGGAATGCTTTTCCAACAGCCTTGAAGGAGTTCCCACATATGCTGAGCACTTGTTGGCTGCTATTCCTTCACTGTGCGGTCCAACTCATCACTCTCCTTCTTGGTCAAATAGCCCTTACACAGCCTGGAGGTGTGTTTTAGGTCATTGTCCTGTTGAAAAACAAATGATAGTCCCACTAAGCGCAAACCAGATGGGATGGAGTATCGCTGCAGAATGCTGTTGTAGTCATGCTGGTTAAGTGGGCCTTGAATTCTAAAGAAATCACAGACAGTGTCACCAGCAAAGCACCCCCACACCTCCTCCTCCATGCTTCACTGTGGGAACCACACATGCAGAGTCAGTGAACGGATGATCTCCGCGTCTCACAAAGACACTGTGGTTGGAACCAAAAATCTCAAATTTGGACTCATCAGACCTAAGGACAGATATCCATAAGTCTAATGTCCATTGCTCGTGTTTCTTGGCCCAAGCAGGTGTCTTCTTCTTATTGGTGTCCTTTTAGTAGTGGTTTCTTTGCAGCAATTCGACCATGAAGGCCTGATTCACGCAGTCTCCTCTGAAAAGTTGATGTTGAGATGTGTCTGTTACTTGAACTCTGTGAAACATTTATTTGGGCTGCAACGAGGTGCACTTAATGCTGAACTTATCCTCTGCAGCAGAGGTAATGCTGTGTCTTCCTTTCCTGTGGCGGTCCTCATGAGAGACAGTTTCATCATAGCGCTTGATGGTTTTTGCGACTGCACTTGAAGAAACTTTAAAAGTTATTGAAATGTTCTGTATTGACTGACCTTCATGTCTTAAAGTAATGATGGACTGTCATTTCTCTTTGCTTATTTGAGCTGCTCTTGCCATAATATGGACTTGGTCTTTTACCAAATAGGGCTATCCTCTGTATACCACCCCTACCTTGCCACAACACACTGATTGGCTCAAATGCATTAAGGAGGAAAGAAATTCCACAAATTAACTTTTAACAAAGCACACCGGTTAATTGAAATGCATTCCAGGTGACTACCTCATGAAGCTGGTTGAGTGAATGCTAAGAGTGTGCAAAGCTGTCAACAAGGCAAAGGGTGTCTACTTTGAAGAATCTCAAATATAAAATATATTTTGATTTGTTTAACACTTTTTTGGTTACTACATGATTCCATATGTGATATTTCATAGTTGATTTCTTCATTATTATTCTACAATGTATAAAATAGTAAAAATAAAGAAAAACCCTGGAATGACTAGGTGTGGCCAAACTTTTGACTGGTACAGTATACACAAACTTATATGGACACCCCTTCAAGTTAGTGGATTTCAGCCACACCCGTTGCTGACAGGTGTCTAAAATGGCCTTACTGAAGAGCTCAGTGACTTTCAACGTGGCAATGTCATAGGATGTCACCTTTCCAACAAGTAAGTTTGTCAAATGACCGCCCTGCTAAAGCTACCCCGGTCAACTGTAAGTGCTGAAGTGCGTAAAAATCGTCCGTCCTCAGTTGAAACACTCACTACCGAGTTCCAAACTGCCCCTGGAAGCAACGTCAGCACAATAACTGTTCGTCGGGAGCTTCATGAAATTGGTTTCTATGGCCGAGCAGCCAAATATCCCCATGCGTAATGCCAAGCGTCGACTGGAGTGGTGTAAAGCTCGCCACCATTGGAATCTGGAGCAGTGGAAACGCGTTCTCTGTAGTGATGAATCACGCTTCACCATCTGGCAGTCCAACGGACGGATCTGGGTTTGGCGGATGCCAGGAGAACTCTTCCTGTCCCAATGCAGTGTCAACTGTAAAGTTTGGTGGAGGAATAATGGTCTGGGGCTGTTTTTCATGGTTCGGGCTAGGCCCCTTAGTTCCAGTGAAGGGAAATCTTAACGCTACAGCATACAATGACATTCTAGACGATTCTGTGCGTCCAGCTTTGTGGCAACAGTTTGGGAAAGGCCATTTCCTGTTTCAGCATGACAATGCTCCCGTGCACAAAGCGAGGTCCATACAGAAATGGTTTGTCGAGATCGGTGTGGAAGAACTTGACTGGCCTGCACAGAGCCCTGACCTCAACCCCACCGAACACCTTTGGGATGAATTGGGACGCAGACTGAGAGCCAGGCCTAATCGCCCAACATCAGAGCCCGACCTCACTTATGCTCGTGGCTGAATGGAAGCAAGTCCCCGCAGCAATGTTCCAACATCTAGTGGAAAGCCTTCCCAGAAGAGTGGAGGCTTTTATAGCAGCAAAGGGGAGACCAACTCCATATTAATGCCCATGATTTTGGAATGAGATGTTCGACGAGCAGGTGTCCACACACTTTTGGTCATGTACTGTACTTCTGACCCTTTGTTAATGTGTCCCTGTGCCTATAGAAAGGTCCTGTGTGTGTAGTGTGTGTTTTACCTAAACCTTCAGGTGGGTTTGGTTTCATCCTCTCCTGGGGTTCAGAAAAAGCAGGGAGGTCTGGGCAGGAGATGACGGGCGTCTTCGAGGACGAATCTGACGGGTTCTTCTCAGCCATAGCCTTCTCTGATTGGCTCTGCTTGAGCTGTCTCCGTCTCTTCAACCTGAGGATATGGAGAAAGAGGTGGTCAATCTGTTTACTTCCACTCAACCTTATGAACATTTGATTTCACTACCAATTAAAGTTTCCTGTGAAAAACTCAAAACGTTGCTGTCTTTTGCTTGCTCACTTTCTCCCCACTCTCCTTTCTCTGCTCCTCTTATCCTCTGTCCTTTTTCCTGATTAATTATTGATAGGTCAGGCGGTGATGTCATCGCATCTCCCACCCCCGCCTGCGTGGGTTCATTAACAGGGGAAGCTGCAGTTAACTAAGCCGACATGGCAGCATGCAGCTCTAGAGTCGGATTGAAACGGATTGTAAACAAGGCCCTGGCCATGTAGGCCCAGTATAGAAAAATTGGGAGAGAGAGGGAGAGAGCGGGGCAGGGAAATCAAAATTCAAGGAAAACAGATGCTGTACAGGCAAAGGACATGTGAAAATTGAGAAGCAGAGAGCTAGACAGAGAGAGCTAGACAGCAAGAGTTACAGAGTGTAATGGAGGAGCACTGGATCAATAGGTTTGGAGAGAAGACAGACCGATACATTTCTGGCCTTCCAATAGCCACTCCTCCATTACGGACACAGCAGCAGAACATACACAGATCTAGTAAACGTTTCAGGAGTCCACTTAGAAATTCCACACAGCACACTCCTGTTTTACACAGGGACATTAGCAAGAGCGGAATGTTGAGATTTTCTTTGGCGCTTTACCTTTTTATCCCCCTCTTGCTTTCACTCTATCCTGGTAGCAGAGGAATAGCTGGTCTGCCTGCGTACTCACACAGCAGCAACCTCCTTATCCCAGTAGACAGAGCCAGGTTCTCATGCATCCATCACCACTCCTGGGTGTCTCATGCTTCAGCTACTTACAGGGATAGAAATCCAGTCCGCTACTCTACTGTGCGTGAGTGTTGACGCATGACTCCATTGCATCAGTATCAGGTGTACCCAGTGCAGTGAGGGCCAGATGGCTACAGAGCACTACTCAGTTAACAAAATGTCAGTCAGAGTACGCAGACAGAACAAGTGGACAGTCACTCAATGCACCGTAACAAACAGCATAATCCTGTCCTCCCTCAATCGCTATGCAAACAGTGAAGCAAAACAGTTGCCCCATGCTGGTAACACACACTAAAACCCACTTCACAGGCTGCCTCTAAAACCTCAACACTAAAAACACTTTGGCATAGGCCTAACAGAGGCTATACACAGAAGCACCTTTCACTTACCTGGCAAAGTAGCCCGGCTTCCTCTCTCTCTTCTCCATCAGTGCGGTATCCTAAAGCTGCATGTACCCCAACACACACACACGCTCCGAGCCTGTGGGCAAAACGATCCCCACTCGTCTCCCTTTCCACAGTCTTCCCACTTCCTTATCCTGGGGGAGGAGAACATTTTTTATTGAAGGGAATTAGTGGTGGCTATTAGTGGTGGCTATTCAGCAGCCTGATGGCCTGGGGGTACAAGCTATTGGCCAGTCTGTTAGTTTTAGCCATGATGCTCCTGTACTGCCCGCGGCTGAGTGATCAAAGCGGGGAGAACAGGCTGTGGCTTGGGTGGCTGAGGTCCCTGATGATCTTCTTGGCCTTCCTGCCACACCTGGTGTCGTAGGTGTCCTGGAGGGCAGGCAGTGTGCACCCAATGGTGCGTTCTGCTGAGCATCCCACCCTCTGTAGTGCCTTGCAGTCAGCAGCGGTGGAGTTGCCGTACCAAGCTGTGATGCAGCCCAACAGTATGCTCGATGGTGCTCATGTTGAACACTGAGCGTCCTCAGGGACAGACCTAATTTCTTCAGCCTCCTGAGGTTAAAGAGTCGCTATCGTGCCTTCTTCACCACGGTGTCTGTGTGGTTTGACCATTTCAGCTCCTCACATGTGTACACCGAGGAACTTGACGTTTTTGACTGTCTCCACGGCGGCCCCGTTGATGAGGATGGGGGTGTGCCCAGCCTGAATCCTCCTTTAGTCCACAATCAGTTCCTTTGTTTTGCTGATGTTGAAGGAGAGGTTGTTTACCTGGCACCACACCGTCAGAGTGCCTACCTCCTCCCTGTAGGCAGTCTCGTTGTTGGCAATCAGGCCTACTACTGTCGTGTCATCAGTGAACTTGATGGAGTTGGAACTGTGTGAGGCCACGCAGTCGTGGGTATACAGTGAGTACAGGAGGGGACTGAGGACGCACCCTTGTAGGGGCCCCATGTTGAGGATCAGTGTGTAGGTGGTAATGTTGCCTACCTTCACCACCTGGGGGTGGCCTGTCAGAAAGTCCAGGACCCAGTTCCATAGAGAGGTCAGTCCCAGGGCTGTGAGCTTTGTGGTGAGCTTAGAGGGCACTATGGTATTGAAGGCCGAGCTGTAGTCGATGAACAGCATCCTCACATATGCATTCCTCTTGTCCAGGTGGGTGAGGGCAGTGTGCAGTGCAATGGCGATTGCGTAGTTCGTGGATCTGTTGGGCAGTAGGCAAATTGGAGAGGGTCGAGTGTGTCAGGGAGGGAGGAGGTGACCTAGTCTTTGACTAGCCTGTTGAAGCACTTCATTAAGTGAGTGCTACTGGTCGGTAGTTATTCAGTTCAGTTACTTTCCCTTTCTTGGGCACAGGAATGATAGTGGACATCTTGAAGCAAGTGGGGTTAACAGCCTGAGCTAGAGAGATTGAAAATATCACAAAACACAACAGCTAGCTGGTCTGCACATGTTCTGAGGGCGCGGCTAGGGATGACGTCTGGGCCGGCAGCCTTGCGAGGGTTAACGCGATTGAATGACTTACATATGCCCTCCGTGGAGACCTTAAGCACGTGGCCTCAAGCACGTGGCCTCGTGGTCATCAGGGGCTCACCTCGGCAGCTCAGAGTCGTTTTGCTCAAAGCGTGAGAAAAAGGTGTTTAGCTCATCCGGTAGGGCGGCGTTGGTGTCCATGCAGTGACAGGATTTATTTTTGTAATCCGTGATAGTTAGAAGCCACTGCTACATACGCCTATTATCCAAACCACTAAATTGCTCCTCCAGTTGTCCCTATACTTGTGTCTCGCCATCTTGATCGATCTGCATAGGTCGTATTTGTACTGTTTAACCATACAACTGTCCCCGGTTACCATGCCGTGTTTATAAGCAGCACCTCTCCTTCAGTTTCCCATCAATCCACGGTTGAAGTTTTGAAAGATACCATCGGTATCACATTATCTATGCATTTTTCGATAAATCCGGTGACTCAGTAAAAGCACATCCCTCGGCTTCCTAAAGAAAATGGCCCTAGTCCTAAAGAAAATGGCCCTAGTCATTCAGCTCACAATTTGATTTAGCTACCATCTTCATCAGTCTTTTCCAGTTGCATGTTAAGGCCATAGTGGTTGCAATGACATGATCTCATTCTGTTATCATGTTTGCCGTGCTATCTGCTCATTTGCAAAGCATATTGCAAACGCATAGCTTATCAGTCTCAAATTCCACTGTGTGTGAGAGTTTAATATTTGCCTTTCGATTAGTGGGTGGTTATGAATAGGTGATTATGGGTGCATCTTATCCTGATCCACTGCAACAGCTCACAATGAAAAGCATAGCAAATTGCTGTAGTAACCAATGTTTTATTATACACATTGGTAGTAACTCTCTGAGCAACTGCATTATACTCAAGGTGATACTGACTACTCTCTTCATGACAGGTCATCTCTTTTAGATAACTAACTAGGGACTTTTTTACAATACCTAACGTTAGCTGCATTACGTAACATTTTTGATGGCTGTAGGCAGCTAACAAGTGCAGCAGAAATTAAACACCCAACATTGAGCCTTTTGATATTGGCAGACAATCTAGAGCCAAATAGCTAGCTAGACAGCAACACGGCAAAACTATAGCAATTAACGTCGTTAGCTAAAATGTTTCTATCCGTTAACAGTTAACGTTATCGTTTTCTAACTCTAACTTACTGTTGACCTAGCTAGCTAACTTACTTCGTCTTCTAAGAGAACTAGCTATCTAGCTACGTTAGGTAGCTAGTCAAGATTGCTAGCTCATACAAGCGAAAGCTAGCTTTAACAGCTAACTAACGTTTGCTAGCTAGCTTAAATTACCCACCGTGTTTCTAGCTAACGTTACATCCTTTGCTTTGGTTGCTTCGCTTGTTCCTGGTGCAGCAATTCAGAGATTTCCCGATAATTATGTAACGTTATGCAACCTGGGTCTACTGACTGTCTGGATGTATGTTGCGCGAAGCTGTGGAGAGAGAGGACACTTTCAGCTACGCAAACGGGACAAGGTCCACACACAACTGACAGCTGAGGTGATGCTGGCTCAGCTCGTTAACCGTAGCCTAGCTTCGTCAAATATTACGTTATCTGTGGCTGCGTAGGCATATTCATTAGCCAGTTTGTTTCTGATCAGTGCTATCTGGGATCCTTGGGACGTCCCTACCCCCTAAACCCTAACGTACCTTTACCAGAACCGCTACATTTCAACTTCAAATGGGGGGGTAGGGACGTCCCAAGGCTTCCATTCGGTCGCGTGGTTATCCTTTGGCAACCAGTTTATAAATTAACGTGAGCTACGATTTCCAAATAGTGGACATTCATGCATAAAACGTTGAAATATCATCCAATGGTAGCTACGTGCAAACATAACTACATTTTCATACGTCGAATACAAAAACAACCAGTCCAGTTTACCTTACCTCATGCCATGGCATTTTCAACCTTTTCCTGTTTACGCATGCACAGGGACAAACGTAAATTAATCGCTTACCACATAATAATCTTCAGAATTGACTTTGTCAAAGAAACAAAATAACAATGGCTCTACAACGATTGTGAAAACTGGGGACATGTTCGGGTTAAGTGGGTTAAAATCTTCCTCGAAGTCGGACAAACATGACGTGAGACATGCCAAAATGTAGCCCAACCGGCCGGTCGCCAGATGGCCCTATTATTCCTTTTACATCGTTTGTAATAATAGTGCCATACCATCTGGCGGCCGGTTGGGCTAGCCAAAATGGGGGTTTTCAGAGAAAACAACTAATTTATTATAATGAAAACAAACCACTATTGGAATTTTCAACATGGTTTAGTTAGAGCTTAGATGCATGTGATCCAACTGTAAAATGTTGTGTTTTATCCAAATTTACACACAATGTCCACGGATGACGCCATCACACTGCCCTATCCCATCTGGACAAGAGGAATACCTAGAGGAATATCATTGACTACAGCTCAGCCTTCAACACCATAGTACCCTCCAAGCTCATCATTAAGCTTGGGGCCCTGTGTCTGAACCCTGCCCTGTGCATCTGGGTCCTGGACTTTCTGAGGGGGGCCGCCCCCAGGTGGTGAAGGTAGGCAACAACACCTCCACTATGCTGATCCTCAACACAGGGGCCCCACAAGGGTGCGTACTCGGCCTCCTCCTATACTCCCTCTTCACCCATGACTGCGTGGCCATGCACGTCTCCAACAAAATTATCAAGTTTTCAGATGACACAACAGTGGTAGGCCAGATTACCAACAACAATGAGACATCCTACAGGGAGGTGTTGAGGGCCCTGGCGGAGTGGTGCCAGGAAAATAACCTCTCTCAACATCAACAAAACGAAGGAGCTGATCGTGGACTTCAGGAGACAGAGTGCACGCCCCTATTCACATCGATGGGGCAGCAGTGGAGAAGGTGAAAAGCGTCAGTTCCTCGGCATACACATCACTGACAATCTGATATGGTCCACCCACACCGACAGTGTAGTGAACAAGGCGGATCAACGCCTCTTCAACTTCAGGAGGCTGAAGAAATGTGGCTTTGCCCCTAAGACCCTCACTAACTTCTACAGATACACCATTGAGAGTATCCTGTCGGGCTGTATCACCGCCTGTTACGGCAACTGCATCGAACGCATCCGCAAGGCTCTCCAGAGGGTGGTGCGGTCTGCCCAACACCTCACCGGGGGCACACTGCCTGCCCTCCAGGACATCTACAGCACCCGGTATCACAGGAAGGCCAAGAAAATCATCAAGGACTTCAGCCAACCGAGCCACGGCCTGTTCACCCCGCTACCATCCAGAACGTGAGGTCAGTACAGGTGCATCAAAGCTGGGACCTAGAGACTGAAAAACAGCTTCTATCTCAAGGCCATCAGACTTATATAATCAACACTAGCCGGTACCCTGCCCTGAACTTTAGTCACTGTCACTAGCCGGTTACCACCCGGTTACTCTACCATGCACCTTAGAGGCTGCTGCCCTATGTACATAGTCATGGAACACTGGTCACTTTAATACTGGAACACTA